GTTTCCAAGGCAGTAAATCTTCATGGAAGTAGATCGCCTAGTCTTCCTTCTGTGGAGTGGCTGGTGGATATGAACCACCAACTTTCCGGTCAGCAGTCAAATGCCTTAGGCACTGCACCACCAGAGCTCCTTAGTGCTAAAAAATATCATAAATAATCAAGACATCAGACAGTGAGCAGTAATGTACAGACATGGAGGGATCTCAGTCCCTCTCTCTGTCTCTCAGCTGTGTGGAAGTGAGAAGTTAGGGGTAGGATCCCATATGTATGAAGATCTGGACTTTTGCCACATGGACACTTGCCATATACCAGGTTGCTGGAAAGGAGATCCCTGGCTCGTGAGTGGATTTAGACACCTATTCCTTTATGACTTCCCAAAGAATCATACATCCTGGCTCCCTGAGTATACAAGGAATACAGTGACTTGCTCTCTGAAGAGCATAAATCCCTTACAACTACCTCTCACCATAAAACTCGGAAATCACCTTCCTTCACACAGAAACTCACTTTCCAACTCTTTCCAAGCACTGAGATTCTGTAGGGATGGTGCTCTTCCCTTTTCCAGCAGAGTTAGGTGTCTAGGAGTTCTATACTTTTGGCCAGGTAGGAAAAACACTAGTTAAAGAGGTTGGTGTGGACCTTTTAGACCTAGGAGAAAATGTCGAAGTATTAGAATGGAAGCTTTAAAGGGAACAACTGTGTCTTTTTGGTCTGTTCTATTTACTGCTATGTATATAACCATCCCATCCCGCATGGATGAAATAAGCTAGTGATTCCTACACCTTACAGGATGGTCAGCCTCTGGGGGCCCAGGTTGTTAGAGAAGCATACTCTTGTAGTTTGAGGCTCTTCTGTGATGTAAGTCAAAATGGACTTTTCCATCCCCCCCTTGGCTATAGTCAAAACCAACCAGGGCTATAGTACCACCACTGGAACTAACTTCTCTTGGCCTCTTTCTAATCCCATCTTTCTTATAACACGAGACTCTTAAATCTCAGAGAATATGGAGAGACAATCCATCCTCAGAGTAGGAGGACTCAGCAGAGACGACCTACACAAAAATAATCCTAGAGTGGATCCTGTCGGAAAAGACAGAAAAGTGGATTTGGGGTTTCTTCATCAAGCACAGTGAGAACCAGTGAGGCTTCTAGATTAAAGAATAATTCTAACTAATGAAATGCAAACTGAAGAATTAAGCAAAATTCTAGGATCTCTTTGATAGTGTTGCTTTCTTCCCCTATTTTATTGTTTTCACTCCTTGGTATCAATTTAAAAAGGCAGTTCTCAAGTTGCACAGAAATGTTTGACACATGCCCTTCCCTCATCCTCCACTAAAATAATAGTCTTTTATGTAAATATTCAGGTCACTCAACTCCATACCTTAGAACCACAGACTTTAGAGTTAAAAGGTAACCTTTTGCAGAAAAATTTTCTTAAAAAGCAAATATAAAAATACAGATTTTAGGGTTTGGGTTTTACTTGTCTCCCAAAGAGGGACTGGGCAGGACTCATCAAAAACATATCAACTCAGAGAGTTTCTGTAATTTATAAGCTTTACTATAATATCTAAAGCCACTGATTGATGTAAGACAGTGAGCCTTCATCTTTCAATCTTCCATACACATATATACTTTTTAAAGTCAGAGATTTTCTTCCCTAAATAACAGATAAAAATATTTTTAAAGTGCATTAATCGAGAAGATAGAGCTATGAGTGGTGTAACTCCAAGCTGCTACCTAATTCCATTCTAAAGCTATAGGCTATCTGAGCACTGAGTTTGAATTTCAGAGTCCTGAGGACATGTCATGAAGAACAGAGATTAGAATAATTCTTCGCAGAACAGCTTCACCATCACCCTCATGCCCACATGCCAGTCAGGGAGGAAAACAGCAGAAATCGTGGCCTGAGAGAAGTTCGGGGAAGCGCAGCCCGAGTTCTGAAAGACGGCCTGAAGGACGTATGCAGAGGACTGCCTCCCTGGCACCCGTGTTGAATGACACATCTGCTGGCATGAGGGGCTCTTCCTGAGGAGAGCTGATGCTGTCTGTGAGGAGAACAGACTAACTGGGCACTTGTCAAAAGGATTAGAATGTTAGATTCGTCTTTGCTGAAAACCTAGTAGTTTCTTTATCATTTTAGAATCTATATGGTGGGTATATGGGTGTTCATTGCACAAGTCTTTTAACTTTCCTGTTGGTTTGAAATTTCTCATAACACAATATTGGAAAATATTAACACTTAAAACATTTTCTCCTTTCTAAAAGCCCTGAATGTATCTCTCAACAAAGCAGCAAAACTAAACAAACTTCAGAAGTTTCCGAGCTTAGCCAGTTTGTATACAAACTTGCAGTCACTCTCCTACTAAGAAGTGCTTTCTTTTGAATGCTAACATTCTCTGTGCTCTAGAGAGCAGGGTGGGAGTGAAAGCAAATGATTTGTCTGTTGCTGTTGGATTCTGTAAGGGACAGGGAGCGACTAAGGAATTATTACCTATTAGGGTTTGCTCGGGCTATGAAATTCTCAGTAATGCCTGTGCTTCAGTAAATAAATAATCTTTTGTCCCTAAAGTTCAATGATTTCAGAAGCTTAATATAAGAATAGTGAATAATTTAGACAGTAAAATTATATTAATTTAGCTATTTTGTGCTAATGAAACAAAGAAGCCCTGTTAGTGACACACCAGTATAAAATGAAATGTCACATGCCCCAGGACTTCAAAAAGTGACCAGACAATACTAGGCACACAGAGGTGGAGGGAACACATCCCTCAGGGATCCCTGAAGCAACAAAACTAGGTTTCCAAAGAAAGTAAGTACAGAGACTCTCGTGGCAAAAATAAACAAAAGTGTTATCCCAGGGAGCTTGCTATGCCTGACAGCTCCTTTTGGAAAGACAGAAGTTAATAATAAACAGGAAAAATATGCAAGGCTTTAGCTGACTGGAAAATAGCTCAGTAGAAAATTGCTTTATAAAGATTATATTCAATTAGCTAAGGCATGATTCAATTTCAGTGATTAAAGAGTGGTCACTCAGCTATCTAATGGGATGACACACTACAGGTTTGCTTTTTACTGTCCAAATAGAAAGACTCAAATAATTTCGTACAAGATATATAAATCTTGGCCAGTATAATCCTCTAAAAAATTCACTCACAAATATAAAACTATGGCGGTATGATGCTCTTTAGAGAATGGGGATGTTATGGCCATCCTGTCTTACATGGGGTTTTGCTCCCAGGGGCACAAAAGGTGCAGAATGCATTGCTCTTTATTTATAATGTAGATGCCACTCCAGACCCACTGTGAGGAGTCATGTTCCAGGAGAGGTTTGCTCTGAGGCACCCACACAAGGAAGGAGGGAGCCAAAGGAAAAATGTTGAAGGCAACTCCTCAGAACAGACAAAGGACTTTGAATCCCAGAATCCCAGACCTCTCATTGGCTAGTCAACACCTCTGCACTCACTCCCTGTGAATGGGCAGATTCCCTCACAGGGGGTGCCAGACGGCATCCTTAACTCCAGGCACACTTAACATCCATCACTGAAGGGGCAGAGGTCTGACCTGCAGGGATGCAACTTCATTAGTTCCCAACTTCTTCTAAAGTCATCATCTTTAACTTCATACAAGAGGTGGCACTTCATACAAGTGTCTCAGAACAGATGGGAAGCCTTCTGAGAACCAGGTAGAAACTGTTTCAAAGGCAAAATGAAATGTGCTAAACAATAAATAAAAGTAATAAATAAACCTAATCATTCCTCACAACTATAAGGCAGTAACAGATTTGACACGGGAACAAGAAACAAGGAGGTAAAGAGGACAGCTGAAATCCCCCTCACTCTCCTTCTCTGCCTGAGGTCCTGGCACCCTGGTGCTCTGGCAGCCCTGGCTGCAGCACCAGCCACCTGCTGCACTGCTGGGCATCAGGGAAACGCAGGCTTTGGCAGGGAAAGAACAAATACAATCAGCAGCAACAGTGAACTTCATTATCGCCTTTCCTAAGACACTTAGAAACCAAAAGCTTTATGTTCCCAATGCAAGAAACCAAACCCAGAAACTCTGAAAACCTGATTGGGTTTCACTGCTTTTGGTTCCAGAGCAAACTTTTTAAATAACACTTCTACTTCAAAGAGACAAAAAAGTGGTGGGGAACCTCGAGGGTTTGTTTTGGTTTTCATTTGTTTATCTTCTCTCTCCTTCTTTCATTATACAAAAAATAATTTAGTAACGCTCAAGTCAAAGATGGGGGTTCTAAGATCAATTCAGTAACTATTCTCCACCCTTCCCCCTGGGAAAGGAAACTGCCACTTGAAACAGGAAGTGATGGAGGCAGTTCTTCCCAGAGTTTAGATTACACTGATTATCATTTTTGATTGCATGAAAGTTCTTGCTGTAATGGCAAAAATACAGACTTAGGAAAGGGAGGAGAGGAGGAGGCTAACCATCAGGAATAAGCCATTTCCCTCCAGAGGCAGTGAGGGCTCCCCAGCCTGTGCAGGACAAAGAACAACCAGCAGGTGGGAATATGGCAGTGCTGAGAGGTGGACAGAGCAGTCTCTGTCCAAGAGACTGGGTTCCTTCACGGACAATGTGCTTTTCCTCTTCTGGCACCTCAAACAGTGAAGAGAGTAGGTACCACTGAATGAATCTGCAATAAAGGCTCTGGGGGAGGAGAGAGCAGCAATCTGAATGACACACCTTGCACCAAGATAAACCTATTTTTAAAAGGTAACATCCTAGTTCCTTTTACGCTTTTGCCTGATGGGTACCTTCACAGAGGGATTTTGCTGGAGTCCAAAGCAAGGAGAATAGGTGTCAGGGAGCATGGAACAGAGGCACTACACCACCACCTGCAGAAGCCAGGAACGGGAAAAGCTATGTGGGGGTAACAATCAGGCAAGCCAGGCGGGACGTGAGGGTCAGGCACCTCACGCTCTTTTAGCTCTTGCCTATTCAGAACAAAGGCAACAGCTGGCAGCCCGCTTCAGCCAGCAAATCTCTGCCCGCCCCTGTGCCAGCAGTCAGTCCTTCAGCTAGTGTAGTAGATGTGGAAGTAGAGGGTCTTGTTGCGCAGCAGGGAGTAAGAGTTGTCAAACTTGAGCAGGTAGATGCCCTCACCGGGATAGTCGTGGCTGCCAGCCTGCACATCTCGGTGACTATCTCGCCGGTACACAGGCATGACCTCCCCATAGCGACTCCGCAAGGAGCTCCTGGAGCCTCTCTCCACATCTCCAACTGGGACAGGATCTGCATGAGCAAAACAGCAGAGTGTTTTGGTATGAGTTCAGAGGCAAAGTAAGTCCTAGCTGAAGGTGACAAAATGGACCAGGTAACCCAGTGGCTTTTATTCAGGAGAGGCTATTGCACTCCTACAGGCATCTGGAAATATCTGGTGGCCTTTGTGTTCATTATAGTGACCAGTGGGTGCTACTGGGTGTCCAAGGGTCCAGAAGTGTTAAGCATCAGAATAGTGCCTGCACAACAAAGAAGTGTCCCCCTAAATGCCAATAATATCTACACAGAAAAACAGTGCTCTAGCCTTATAGGAATGTTCCCAGCTTCAGAAACATACAGCCATTTCAGGGGTTGTTGTTGTTGTTATTTGCCGTTGAGTTGGACCCGACTCATAGCAACCCCTCCTTGGGTTTCTGAGGCAGTATCGCTACGGAAGTAGATTGCCCCATCTTCCTTCCGAGGAGTGGCTGGTGGGTTTGAACCGCCAGCCTCCTGGTTAGCAGTCAAGTGCCTTAGGCACTATGCTACCAGAGCTCCCATTTCAGGGGTACAGAGGGAAAAAAGACAGAAAGAAATGGACATCCTTTCCATTGAACATGTAAAAGAACTAGCTAGGTAGCTAGTTAGGTATGAAATACAGACAAAAATGGTAAGCCAGAACTTCCACTTAGACTACTGCTTGTAAGCTATGAGGTTTTCCTAAATACTTGCATTGTAGGTTTCCCTGAAGACTTGCTTTTCCACAGAGAAGTAAGTTACGGGATTGATTTTAAGATTGCAGGAGAAACAGAAGGAGTAAGGCTAATGGTTACTGCAAATGCCTCAGGACCATTGTGACTAGGGGCTGCAAGTAACAACTAGAATGGAGCACAGAAAACAATTTGAAAACTGCCCTGGACAGGAAGTGAAGAAGTAAGTAAGAGTCAGGTGGCTGTGGCATTTTGTAGAGTGGAGGGAATGGCTATATTAAGCAAGCTTTAATCACTCAGTTTAGTTCTGGGTAAAGAACAAGTATACCCAAATGTAATCTCAGATAATTCCTGCTTCTATAGAAAACAGTACTGACCAACCCCTATCCATGCCCTGCTCCTATTCCTGCCTCCAATGGGATGCTGGGGAAACTATGTACTGATTCAAAAGAAAAGAAGCTTCCAGCCAAGGCATCAACACCAATCCCACCAGAATATTATTCGAAAGCCTGACTTCAGTCTGCATACCTACCTTAGTTTGCAATGCCGAAAGGAGGCCCTCACATGCATTTTGAGGAAGAGGAGGACTGGTACAATAGAGGAAGTAGCCACAAAAAATTAGGGTGAGCTGTTAATGGAAGCTACAAATTAGGTTAAATTTACCTTCAAGCTCCTCCTCTTCCTCCTCCTCTTCGTCCTCGTCCTCACTGGAATCACTGACCTGCACAGTTATGTCAGTGCTGGTTACAGGGGTCCAGTCAAAATAAACTCCAAAGCCAATATCATAGTCATCAGTCGCAAACTCCCAGCAGACACGCTTTCCCTCTGGATGAGTAGGTACCCGGATGGTCACTACTTCACCCCGCTTCACCACCAGATGGCTGTTCTTCTCTTTGCCCAGCTTGCTTTTGAATTCCTTCATCTTGGCAAAGGTCCAGATGCATGGAGGAGCCATAAGTGGTGGGGAGACTGAAAGGACAGGCAGCTTACTACTGAGAAATCATGAGGATATGCTACCCCACTTGGTATTTTATTTGTTTTTATTTTTTAAATGTTTTCCTTTATTGTGATTTGGGTGAGAATTTACAGAACAAATTTTTTTTCTCATTAAACAGTTCATATACATTTTGTTTCATGACACTGATTGTGACCCCCAAAATGTAACAGCTCTCTTCCCACGTCCTCCCTGTGGTTACCTTTTTTCTGTGTCCTTCTTTCCTTTGTATTTCTGCCCTCTGAGCTGTCTCCCTGTGTAGATGCTGCCCTTCTGAGCTCCCTTAGTTGAATGGTGTAATTGTTCACCTTGTAGGCTAGTCTATTATGTGCCTGAAAGCCATGGGAGTGCATTCCAGGCCCAAAGGATGACGAGGGATCATAGTCTCACAGGTTTCACCAGTCTCTATCAGACCAGTAAGCCTGATCTTTTATATGATTTTGACTTTTGTTCCACATTTTCAAAGGAAATTACTTCTGAATTGAGACCTGAAGGATGAGAATGAGTTAGAAGGAACAGTGAGTCGTGAGAGAACATTTCTTATAGAGGGAAGCACATGTCTAGAAGTGAGTTTCTGACATGTGAAACACTTCACTTTTGCTGGACTTGAGAACTGGCAGGAGATATTCGTATGATGGACATGAAGGGAAACAGTATACAGATCAGAAGGTATTAAGACATTTCATTAAAAAAATATGAGAACACCAAGCGGATATAGGATGCAGTGGATTTAGGGTCTGGCACCACTCATTTAGGGTATGAAAGGATCACTCAGGATGATGTATGGCAAATGAATTGAGTAGACTAGATGCCTAGACTGGTGTAGGTAAGCTAGCTGTTTCTATGGTTTTATTAATGAAGGTAAAAACTGATGTATGAAACAGTGCAATAATAAAACAGAATTTAGCTTATGGAGTATTATTTAAGAAATATTTATTAATTCAGCTGGAAATAAATGTGTTGTGAGAGTGTTTATCCAAGAGAGAATAAAAGTTTACCCAAAGAAGACAGCAAGATCCAGTTTGAGTAACAGGACCGAGGGCAGTGAGAGTCAGTGTACTAAGCAGAGGCAGGAAAGGGTTTAAAACAAAAACCAAACTCACTGCCGTCAAGTTTTATTGGTGGATTGAAACACTCAGGACAGTGCACTACTCTCTGGGAGACTCAGCATTTTATTTAGAGAGGTTGTCAATCAAACACATTCTTTCCACTTGCTTCCCTGACTTGTTTCCATAACTCATTTTCTCTCTTTCTTCCCATGTTTGCCTTTCTTTAAGTACTCACTCAAACTCAAAAACTCACTGTCATTGAGTCGGATCCGACTCATAGCAACCCCTCCTTGGGTTTGCAAGGTAGTATCACTACAGAAGTAGATTGCCCCTTCTTCCTGCAGAGGAATGGCTGGTGCGTTTGAACTACCAACCTTCTGGTTAGCAGTCGGATGCCTTAGGTGCTACTCCACCAGAGCTCCAAAGTACTCACTAGAAAAAAAAATATCACTTTGGCACTCCCAAAGGTCTCACCTTTCCTGTGGTCCCCCAGAAGATCTGCAGATTCCAAATCAGCTGAAAGAACATCAATAGCTCCTGTGTGCTCAGACTGGATCATAACAATGTCCCCAGACCTCTGTGGAACTTGGTACTTGGCCATCTGCACAAAAGAATTCTAGTTAAAGGAGAAGTTAAGAGTGGAAAATTCCAATTAGCCTTTTCCTAAATGAAGGTGCCTCATGACCTACAGAATCCCACCTCAATGTTTAATATGCCATTCAGTGTTACTTCTCTTTCCTCCAGGAACAGGCTGCTAATAAATTCTATAAAAATGTTTCTTAAAGATTCTTCCTTGTTTTCTCCTACCTTTTGCAACTTGCCAGGCCTTTGTAAAATCCTTGCTCATGAACAGCTTCACAGCTCACTATGGACTTTTGCATCTAATGGCATCGCCAGGCCGTGCCTTGGTCTTGCCTCACCCTGAACAGTACCTCCCTGTGGCTCCTCCTATGACAGTCCTGGCACCTGGGGTTTAGCTGGACTCCCACACTGCCACACATCCTTCTGCTACAATTCCCACTCAAGGGTCAATTGCAGATGACTGTCAATCAAGAATTCACCAAAGCACTGCAGATAGAATTTCGTTCTCCCTCTACCCCCCCACCCCCCTCTCTCTCTTCCTTTTCCTCTCCTTCCTGCCCTGCTTTCTGTCCCACCTGATTTTGTGGTCTGCTCCACATTCAAACTCTGTAGCTTGGCTATATCATCAGCACATCTTGGGCTACAAGATCTCATCCTCTATGTCACTGTGTTGTTGTTGTTGTTATGTGCTGTCGAGTTGGACCTGACTCATAGCAACCTCTTCTTGGGTTTCTGAGGTAGTATCACTACAGAAGTAGATTGCCCAACCTTCTTTCTGAGGAGTGGCCAGTGGGTTTGAACCCATAGGCCTTTAGGTTAGCAGTCAAGTGCCTTGAGCACTATACTATCAGAGCTCCAATGTCACGTGGTGTAGTAAATTATATAATATGGCTTTTCTAGCCACAGTCTTTGTAAACTCCATGGTGGAATTTGCCATGAACACTGAGTAGCTCCTGATTGTTAAAGTTATCCACCTGGGGTATTTCTGTTGAGAGTGGCATGAAGCAATCTTCTGGGAAGTTTGCTGTCTCTCAGGTACATAAAATTCTAATGTTGGGATTGGTTAGTTTGGCCACTCTACCAGGCTCAAAAGGAGCCCTCACAGAGGCAGAAGGAATCTCTCAATGCCGGCTAAGAGACATACACTGCTGAGAGAGACAGAGATGAGAGAGACATGCGCTGCTGAGAGGCAGACACCGCGAAACAAGCACTGCTGGAGAGAGACTGTCGGCTGAGAGACAGCTGCCTGAGAGAGACTGAGCATGTTCCTGAACTTGAATTGTAGCCTGTTGCTTCCCTAATAAACCCCACAATCTGTGAGTTCTGTGTGGCCACTGCAGCAAATTATTGAACCCAGCAGAGAGGTGGTGGGTGCTGCGGGAGGAACGGTTGGTGGCAGGGTTGGTGAAAGGGCTGGTGGGAGGCAGCATATCTGGTCTTGTAGGAACAGGCCTTGGGCTACTGATGGTGATTCTGTCTTCCTCTTGTGGGGTTAGAGGAGGTTGGAAGATGCCGCCTCCTTGCCTTGCCTCTTTGGCAGTCACTAACCAAAAACCCACTGCCGCCAAGTCGATTCGGACTCACAGTGACCCCCACTAGGTTCCCAAAGCAGTAAATCTTAAAGAAATACATTGCCTTATCTTCCCTCCACAAAGCGGCTGGTGGGTTTGAGCCACCAACCTTCTGGTTAGCTGTCAAATGCCTTAGGCACCACACCACCAGAGCTCCTTATATCACTAACAGTGCTCTACAAATAACTACAATCTCATTTTAGACCAGCCCCATTTTGCATTTAAACAATGTATTTGCTGCCAGACATCTGACCTGCATGGAAGAGATGCCCCCACTCTGCCATTCTGTATTCAAAACCCTCACTAACCCATGGCAGGAGCCTGCAAACTCTCCCCAGTGGGTTGCCCTTAAAATCACTCAGATTAGTGTTTCCCAGTTTCATGTTCTTATGTCTGGATTTCTTGCCCCTTCTCTAAGCAGTGGGCAGGCAACTCAATAATAAATCTATACCGACTGCCTACAAAGAAGAGCATATCAATGAGACAGCAGTCCAATTATGGGACCAGAATTGTATTTGTAATAAATAAATAAAGTTTGCAATCCTGCCAGGCTGCATTCTCATAATCTCTGTTTCTGGAAAATAAGCCCTCTAGTTCTTATCTCCATTGCTACATGAGATGAATCAGACTTTGGTTAGTGCACCTAAATGAGTCTTTCCTTTCCCAAGGGCTAAACAAAGGATTCAGTTTGCAACTTATTAGCTGCATAACCTTCATAAAGTAACTAAGAACTCTTAGCCTCAGTTTCCTCATCTGCAAAATGGGGATATAATGGTATCTATATCACTCAGGAGTAAATGAAATTTATGGCAGAAACTGCTTTGTAAACTATAAATCATTATACACATGTAATTATTATGCTTGATGTTGTAGCTATTGACACTAACACCACTGATTATCACAATACATCTGTTAATAATGATGCAAATAACCCATACCTTTCTGGCAGGGTAGCCACTGCTATAGTAATACCACTTCTATGGAATCTTTATACCATAAATATTAAGTAGATCTATTACAAACAAAAGGAGCTCTGGTAGCGTAGTGGCTAAGGCACTTGACTGCTAACCAGAAGGCTGGTGGTTCAAACCCACCAGCCACTCCTTGGAAGGAAGATGGGGCAATCTACTTTCGTAGTGATACTGCCTCGGAAACCCAAGGAGGGGTCGCTATGAGTCAGGTCCGACTCAACGGCACATAACAACAACAACATTACAAACAAATGAGACTAAAACACAGCCTGATAGTTTAAGGCTCTGTAAAATCAAGAGGATTTTAGAGAATACCTGAGCATTCATTCTAATACTTCATTTTTTGAATAAGTGCATACTGGGTGCTAGCACGGTGCAGGGCCCTATGAGAGACACAAACAATTCTTCACATAATTAAGAATAAGATGCTCTATGGAAGCAAATGAGAAAGAGTCATTAACAACCTGTGATATGCAAATGACACAACCTTACTGAAAGTGAAGAGAAGATATGCAAAGACACAACCTTGCTTGCTGAAAGTGAAGAGGACTTGAAGCACTTATTGATGAAGATCAAAAACTATAGCCTTTAGTATGGATTACACCTCAACATAAAGAAAACTAAAATCCTCACAACTGAAGTTGTCAAGATTTCATGTTACTTGGATCCACAATCAACAAAGAATGCTGAAAACATCAAGGACTGCCAAAAAACAATCTGGCCTAAAAGAAGTGCAGCCAGAATGTTCCTTAGACATATGAAGGGCAGACTTTGTCTTACCTACTTTGGTCATGTTGTCAGAAGGGACCAGGCCCTGGAGAAGGATATCATGCTTGGTAAAGTAAAGGCTCAGTAAAAAAGGGAAAGACCCTCAATGAGATGGATTGACACAGTGGCTACAATGACAGGCTCAAGCATAGCAAGGACTGTGAAGATGGAGCAGGACCGGCCAGTGTTTGCTCTGTTGTACATAGGGCTGCTAAGAATCAGAGCCAACTCAATGGCACCTAACAACATAACAATAATAACAACAATCAATACTCGTGGAAGCAGTAGTCAAGAAATCAAACAATGTTTCGGATGGGGCAAATGTGTTGCAAAAGACCTCTTTAAATTGTTTAAGAGTGAAGATGTCACTTTGAAGACTAAGGTGTGCCTGACCCAAACCATGGTATTTTCAATAGCCTCATATACATGTGAGAGCTAGACAATGAATAAGGAGGACCACAGAAGAACTGATGCATTTGAATTGTGGTGTTGACGAAGAATACCAAATACACTACGGATTGCTAGAATGAACAAATCTGTGTTGGAGGAAGTTCAAATGGAAGTGAAAATGGCCAGACTTCATCTCTGATACTTTGGTCATGTGTCAGACGGGGCCAATCCCTGGAGTAGGACATCATGCTTGGTAAAATACAGGGTTAGCAAAAAAGGGGAAGACCTTCAACGAGATAAGACTGACACAGTGGATGCAGTGATGGGGTCAAGTATAGCAACAATTGTGAGAACAGCTCAAGATCAGGCAGTATTCCGTTCTGATGTACACGGGGTTGCTATAAGTCACAACAGACTTGACAGCACCTAACAACAATGAGAGCAGAGAGACACTTCTGTGAGCCACCTTCACAGTGCTTCTAATTCAAAACTCCCTGCTATAATCTAAGTTCTAGCATCATAAACTCCTTCTTTTATGGAGGACAAAGAGCGAATGTGCCCCCTACCTTGTTTAGGACCTGGGCCTTGTCTGCAGGCAGCAATTCTTGGTCCAAGGTCTGAGCTTCCAAGGCTCCAGTTGCTTTCCGCAGGTCTTCTGTGGCCTCCTCACTCCCCGCAGATACCATCTGTGGCCTCTCAGAGGAAGATAGCATGTAAATTAAAGGATCTTTTAAAAGACACGATCATCCTGGAGAAATTCTTAAATAAAGCAACTTTCAAAGGACAACCTCCCTTCCACCCTATTCCTCTGGCATTTAGGTCTACTGTCACTTTAGCCAATCAATGCATAGGGTTAAACTGGCCCACAGGAAAGTGGTGACAGTGTGTGAAGGCCGAAGGGCTGGCCAAGTCCAGCCCCAGACTCAGAGAACACGGAAGATACACAGCTTGATCATCTCAGGTGGAATCATTGGTCTAGCTGTATTTTTTACTCTGACATCCACATCATTTGCCGCACACAGAATTTCAGCAAAACAAGAGTTAGAATCCCAGTTTTGTTCTACACGCAAAGCCACTGGAGAGAAGCAAAGGGTGGAGGCCTCTCCTCAACTAGAGGCAGATTACCAAACAAACAAAGTGCAAAGTGATTAGCAAGGAGATTCCCACAGCTATCCCAGGAGCAATCAAAATCTTTCAGCATTTCCACTTCATAGCCTAAGACAGAAGTAATCACTTTCCTTTTTTAAGCCCATTAATCAACTAACTACCCAGGGACTTAACACAAAACTATCTGAATAGTAGATTTAAAGAGGCAAGGGAATGATTTATGCTCCATTTCATTTCCACTAGTTTCAGAGACTGGAAAATAAGACAAATGCTATTGTGCAGCCTAACTCAGGCCTTTCAGGAAATCTTTATAGATTCCTTAGATTAGCAGTTATCAAAATTTCCTCCCTTCCTTTCTCCTCTCCCTTCTTCCCTTTTTTAACATTAAGAAGAAAAATTATTGCTAGGTTTTTTGGTTTAGTTTATAAATAACCTCTTCTTCAGATAAAATGGAGCCATCTTTTGGAATATCCAAGTCTACTCCAACCTACCTCTGAAAGAACAGTGGGATACTAGTTGATTTTTCTAGGTTTGCTTGGGTAATTCAGTGCAAGATGGGCCTATTTTGTCCTCTTACCCCAGAAATTACAGAGGGCACTGGTAACATAGTGCCTAATGCACTTGACTGCTATCCAGAAGGCTCGCGGCTCAAACCCACCAGCCACTCCTCGGAAGGAAGGCTGGGCAATCTACTTCCGTAGTGATACTGCCTCAGAAACCCAAAAGGGGTTGCTATGAGTCAGGTCTGACTTGACGGCACACAACAACAACAGCACTAGTTATCATCTGTCTCCTCTCCCAGAGGTGAGCTTGATGATGACTGGGACCAGGTCTTACTCGCCCTGTATGTATAGCATCTAGAAGCAAGCCCATCAGATGGAGCTCTGAGGCCCTTTGCACTCCCACCTTGTCTCCCAGAATCCTCCCCTCTGCCTAGTCCACTCCAGCCACATGGCCCCTTGAAGCTTTGATGTTCCTCACACACTTTAAACATTGTCCTACTCAAGAGGCTCTGTGCCCAGTATTCCCTCGGCCTGGAATATTCTTCTCCCTAGTTACCTTATGGCTTACTTACTTCAGGTTTCTCTCAACTGTCACTTTCCCAGAGGGGCTTCCCAGACGTCTCCTATAAAAAGTCTTACCCTTCTTCAACTCTATTCCTGTTTAAACCCATACCATGCTTCATTTTTCTTCACCACATTTATTATTTTCTGACATACAGGCTTCCCTTGGTATCTACCGGGGCTTGGTTTCAGGATTCCCCCTATACCCACCCCCCACCAATACCAAAATCTGTAGATGTTCAAGTCCCTTATACAAAATGGTATAGTATTTGCATATAATCTATACACATCCTCCCGTATACTTTAAATCATCTCTAGATTACTTATAATACCTAACACAATGTAAATGATATGTAAATAAGCACCTTACTTTGTGCTTCCTCTTAGCCTTTGAGTGATTGCTTTGACCATTTTTGGACTGCATCCTACCCCTAACCCCATGCTCGAATATTTTTGGTCTTAGAACAGAAACCATGGCTACGGAGGGCCAACTGTATTGGAAATGGAAACATAGCTCTCTGTCTTTTCTAGTGAGGTGGGTCAGCCTGCCAGTTTCTCTCCTCCTTTTGGGATGGTCTCCCTGCTCTCAGTCAGCACAAATCAGAAGCCTTAAAGGGCCGGCGGGGGTAAGAAGGGGTGTTGTTCTTAGATGTGGCTTATCACGGGCATCAAGTGATTTCAAATTTATCTTTCCCAAAATACCTTTCACTAATTCTTCAGAGCTCAAAATGCTAACATGAGTATTAAATTTATGTGGCTGTTGCAGGTCTGATTTAAAAAAAAAAATTTTTTTTGGTAAGTAAAACCGTATTTGTGCAAAGTAGCATGCTGAAGGCAAATAAGAGACTAAATCTTAGATGCCCCCTGTACAATAAGGTCAGGCTGATGGTCCAGATTAAATATTTTAGTCTCATTTTCCAAATATTATAAATTATAGTTTGATCCAAAATTCCTCTTTTGCTTCCAAACAAAAATTAACTTTTTCATTCAATAAATAAAATTGGGAATCTACTATTTATCCATTTAACAGAGATTTAATGAAAGCCCACTGTGTACATGGCACTGTTTTAGCTACTTCAAGATAACAAAAATGAGCAAAACAGTCCAAGTCTTCGCATTCATGGAGCTTACATTCTAATGGGGGAGGCAAACAGAAAACAAGAGTATGTCATATTTCATAGAATCTGTGTGTCACCAACTGTAAGATGTACTGATATTTTATGTACCACATACCCAGGATGGAGAATCTAACAGGAGACCCCTTATGCAGAACCAGGACATCAAAAGCCTACACCTTCATTAAGAAAACAAGGAGAAATCTCTCCACACAGGAAAGAACAGCAAGGAAACCTGAATTTCTCAGCTTTGGAATCGTATAAGGGGATGAAAAAATAACTCCCCTGAAAGTATGATTCACAAGTTAGTAGTCACCAGGTCGAAATTCATTCTGACAGTGTGGTCTAAAAAAGAACCTTTAAGCAGAATATTTAACTTAAAATTGTCTCAGGATGGTAACACTCCCAAGAACTGGCAGAAGGGAATGTGTCTTCTGGAAGGACTTGACATCAGTCTACCCCACAGCAGTAATAAGACAACATCAATTTTTTTTTCCAAGAACCCCCGTATTTCAGTTGTATTAACATCTAAAAATAAAACAAACTATGCATCTTGGAAACATCAAGATAAGGTACATAATACAATGTACACAAAATACAAGCAATAAGTTTCATACTCACTGGAATTTTTTCCTTCATATACTAGATTTTAGAAAGAAAACTTTTAAGATAAATTTCCTTTTGCCTAAGAATGTTCTGTACTCCTCACTCAAAAGATTTTTATTTACTCTTGGGAAGAAAAAGCAATTCTACATTAATGTCCATCCCCTAAAAATATTTCAAATCAACATGTGTAGAAAAGATGTGGGAAGAAAAAGCAATTCTATATTAACGTCCATCCCCTAAAAATATTTCAAATCAACATGTGTAGATAAGATGTGGTAAGAGGAAGACAGAATGGTGTTCTCCTAAGAGGATTTGATGAGACCATGAATTGTCTCAAATAACTAAAGCTTTGAGGGGGCTGTATCTTCTAAAAAGATCATTATATATAATAACCTAATAGCTGTAAGCGTAGAACTCAAAACCCTTATATTACCAGTTACGAGAATAAGCTTTAGAGCAAGCCAAACCTAAAGGTTGCATGAACTTGGGCAAATCACTGAACTCATTGTAGTTCATTTTCTCATCTGAAAAATAGGTTAACTTATTTCCTTAATGTTGTTAGGAGGACTAAATGAGATAATACATATTATTGCTGTTGTTGTTAGGTCCTGTGGAGTCAATTCCAATTTACAGTGACCCCATGTGACAGAGTAAAACATAGAGTTTCCCAGGCTGTAATCTTTATGGGAAGGGAATCTGGTGGCATAGTGGCTAAGGCATTTGGCTGTTAATCCAAAGGTCATTGGTTCGAACCCACTAGCAGCTCTGCAGGAGAAAGATGAGGCAATCTTTTTCCATAAAGATTTACAGCCGTAGAAACTCAATGGGAGTTGCTATGAGTTAGGACCAACTTGATGGCAGTGCATTTGGTTTTGGTTTTTAATCTTTATGGGAGCAGATTGTCAGGTCTTGCCTCCCAGGGAGGAACTGCTGGGTAGGTGTGAATGGCCAGACTTTTGGTTAGCAGCTGAATGCTTAACCATGGCACCACCAGGACTCCTTTAATACATATTAACACCTAGAAAAGCATTAGGAAATAGAAACATTCAGCAAAATGTGGGTATTATATTATTGGGGAATCTCTGGGTGGTGCAAATGGTTAAGCACTGGACTACTAACTGAAAGACTGGCAGTTCAAACCCACCCAGAAACACCCAGGAGAGAGGTTTCCAAAAGATCATTAGCCTTGAAAATCCTGTGGACAGAGAGGTACACAAGAGGTACAGACAACAAAAAACACTTTACATATACAATAATGTGTTATCAGTGATAACACACATCAAGCTACAGGTAAATAGGTAGGTAGACAGGCTGAATGATCAGCTATGTCTGTTGTTGTTGTTGTTAGATGCAATGAGTTGGCTCTGACTCATAATGACCCTATGTACAACAGAACAAAACAGTGCCCGGTCCTGCGCCAGCCTCACAATCCTTGCTATACCTGAACCTACTGTTGCAGCCACTGTGTCAATCCATCTCATTGAGGGCCTTCCGCTTTTTCGCTGATCCCTCACTTTATCAAGCATGATATCCTTCTCCAGAGAATGGTCCCTTCTGACAACATGACCAAAGTAGGTGAGACTTTGTCTGGCAATTCTCGCTTCCAAGGAACATTCTGGCTGTACTTCTTTCAGAAGAGATTTCTTAATTCTTCTGGCAGTTCAGGGTAATTTCAGTATTCTTCATCAACACTACAACTCAAAAACGTTAACTCTTCTTCAGTTTCCTTATTCATTGTCCAGCTTTCACATGCATATAAGGTGACTGAAAACACCATGGCTTGGGTCAGAGGCATCTTAGC